CAATGATTCTCTCTCATCATTGATGTTTTTATCTATCCCTTCCTCTCTGAAATAAATTTTTAAAAAAAACTGATTTCAGCTTATTTTAGACGAGTTGTATTAAAAAATATTAAGTAAATATATAAAAGTGTAGGTGAGTGTGCATATGGGAGGGATTATAATGTGGTGTGAGAAAGACTGAGGTTTGGAGCACCAACATGCTAAATCCTTCTCTTCTCTCAGGGTCAGTTTAACTGACTCCTCCCTGGGGGGCGTCCCTTTCCCCATCTTCAATCTTGGCTGGATGCCAAGTCATACGCTCTCCAAACTCTGTTTTCCACCTGTCCTTTCTAGCAAAGTTATTTTGGAGGCAAGTAACTGAATCCCAAATCACACTGTTCTGGGAAGCGCAGTGGGAATATCTAGACTCTCATAGCCAGCTTCAGGCACAGCTGGATCTAGGTGTTTAAATGCTGTCATCAGACATCTCTGTCCATCAGCTGGCTACCTTTCCCATGTGTTGGTCTCATTCTTAGGAAATCTCTCTACTCATGGCAGAGAGAGGGCCTCTGCAGCTCCACACTTAGATTCCTTAGCAAACCCAGCAAAAGGAAAATGCTTTAATCCCCAGAATTCTGAGGAGTAGTCCTCAGAACACTCCTCCTTGGTCTGCTTTGGGTGGTGTGCCCAGCTCTCAAGCAATCACTGAAGGATGGGATTGAATGGCTCTGATTGGCCAGACTTGGGTCACATGTCTAGCCCTCACCCAATCACTGTGGTTGGAGGATGAAGTGCTCTGATTGGTTGGGCTTGGTTGGCTCACTTCTCTGGACCCATGAGGAGGGTGGTTTTGCAGAAGCCATAGGGGCTGTTAGCTAAATAAAAGAGATGAATGCTGGGTGAGCAGAAACCACAGTCCTCATCCACATGACGGATGGTAATTTGTAGGGCCCAGCTATAGGGTTAAGCCTCGGACTGACCGTTGGCAAAGCCACAAACAAGTCCCAGCTTAGAGGGCACAGTCCTCTTAACATAATTAGGTTTGACCTTATGATGCTGCCTAGATCCTTCCTAGGTAGCTAATGGGCTGGGGGAGGTGCAGCAAGTGCTGCCAAAACAAGTGAAATTCACAAGAACATTGTAACTATGGTGACCACTACCTTGTTTACCTCTGGCTATGAAATAAAGGCTCAGCTTGCCTCTGGATAGCTCTCTCTGTGGCCTCAGCCAGGCACCGGAAGATTCGCCTAGAGTCTCTAGACCCAGCTTATTCTCTTTGTCATTTCTTCATCTTTCACCGCCCTCACTCACGCTTGCAGAACCCTTGATTGAGCTGGCTCCGCCCAGTAATTAAATGTGTTGTAAACATTTGCTTATCACCCATCACTGGTCCCCTGGCCTGACTAGTCGCCCCAGCAGAGGCAAAATCATAAAAGAGGCAGAGCTGCTAATACCAATAGAGACATAACCAAGTCCCTTGACATGGACCCTTTGAAGAGACTCGTGGATGGAACCTTGCCCCAGGGTGGAACTTGGGCCTCTCTGGGAAAAGCATGACCTTCTGAGTCAGATCTGTGTTCAATGCTCAGTCCTCTCATTATACACCCTCGCTTATTCATTCACTAGGGAGATATTTATTTATATAGCACTAACGGGGTGCCAGGTACTTACAGTTCTAGACACTGGGGACACCACGGTGACCGACAAAATCCCTACCTTCCTGGATCTGAGGTGGCCCTGGGGGAGGAGAGAGAGATCATTAAGAAGAGAATAAAGAAAGAATTTCAGATAGTAATAAATACTATAAAAAAAAAAAACACAGTGTATCTTGCTAGTGTGGACGAAAGGGGCCACATGCTAACCTGACAAGCTCAGGGGAGGCCTGCATGGCGGTCTTGCAAACTCAGAGACCTAAAGTCACCACAAAGGATGGTCTGAAATTAAACTTTAACTAAAAGGAGTTATGGTGGGTGGTTACATCCTAGGCCAGTATCCTCACTGACAAGGTCAACCTTTACCTCAACTGAGCCTGTCTGTCTTTTTGCATCTATGATACCATACCCTTGAAATGTCAGGGTAACTTGTAACTTCCCTTTTTCCGGACCCCTTGAGACACAACCTAATGTGCCTGGGCGCCAGGACAGATACCACAAATTCCTTCATTGTTATCATGTTAATTGTTCCTGCACCCACCTAAGTAGGTGTCCATCATTTTACTTTTTATCCAATCCCAGAGGTGTCCCCGCTTTGCTTTCTCCCGCCTCTCTAGTCTATCACCAATGGATTTCATGTAACCCACCTACATCCCTTCCTTTGCTTGCAATGTATAAATACAGATGTAACCCGCCATTCTCCGGAGCATTATCTCAATTCGTTGAGGCTTTGCTTCCTGGCAACTGTCGACAGTTTGGCTCAAATAAACTCACAAAAATTCTTTACAGGTTTCAGTGTTTTTCTACGTTAACACTAGCAAGGAGCTGGGGGGTGGGGGTGGGGGTGGGGTTGGGCTGCCTTGCAGCCAGCCTTGGGGAAGGCCTTTTCGAGGCGTTGCTATTTGGTTTGAGACTGGACTGTGTCAGCCATGCGATGCTTTGTGTGCAGCTCTCAGAAGAGGGAGCAGCAGGTGCTAAGGCACTGAGGCGGCTCCTCAAGAACCGACAGGAGCCGCTGCAAGTGGCTGCGTGATGGTCGGTGAGTCAGTCTCTGGGGACCCCTGGGCAAGAGGAAGATCACCCCGACCCCTCAAGGTGGCTCTGAGGCTTCAATGAGACAAAGACTGTGAGAGCTGGTGCTGTGCCTGTCCTACGGCAGGTGCTGGGCTCGGCAACCACCAGCTATTTGGGCAACACAATTGTTAGTGTGAGGAGGTAAGAATGGACTTGGAGAATCAAAGGATGAGAGGAAGGTGCTTTGGTGGCTTATCCTTCCAGAATCCAAAATGCAAGGTGTAGTGTGAGTGAGGCCCTGACACTGGGCTTCTGAGCAGCCTCGGGGCATCCTGGAGACCAACAGTAAGAACTACGTTGCTGCCCTGACCAGTTTGGCTCCGTGGATAGAGTGTCGGCCTGCGGACTGAAGGGTCCCAGGTTCGATTCCGGTCAAGGGCATGTACCTTGGTTGCGGGCACATCCCCAGTAGGGGGTGTGCAGGAGGCAGCTGATCGATGTTTCTCTCCCATTGATGTTTCTAACTCTCTATCCCTCTCTCTTCCTCTCTGTAAAAAATCAATAAAATATATCTTTAAAAAAAGAAAAAAAAAGAATTATGTTGCTGCAATAGCGGCCACCACTCACTAGCACCTACATCTGGCAGGCCCTCTGCTGGGTACCTGATATCCGTGGGCCCCTCTGGCTCTGGGGTGGGCACTAGGAGCGACACCCCCATTCGACAGAGAAGGGAAACTGAGGCTCAGAGCTGATATCACAGAGTCTGGAGCAAAGCGAGGAAGCAGCCAGGCCTCCCCACACCCTACCTGATGACCTTTGGCCATGACTCACCTCTGACTTGGGGTGATCATTGTGCCCTACTCTCTACCTTTATCTTCTCCCAGCGTGGAGGGGGAGGGTGTGCAGAGAGGGAAGGAAGCAAGGCCTCAGAGCCCCTTTTCCAGGAGCCCTGCCCCCCAG